CTGTAAAAAGATAAGTGCAATGTTCAGTGGAACATTATAACCACATTTTTGTTGAGATAGGGGGTTAAATCATTCATTACAGCCTATGTGGCCAACTGTTATTATATATTCAAACTACGATTTTTGTGGTAAACTATCACTTTTGAAGTTATCAACAACGACCTTTGCGACAAACTATTGTTATTGCAGTCATTAATTGAAATTGAATTTAATATTTTTAATATATTGATATATTTAATTTTAAAATATGTTAATGCAATTACGCCTTAGCGGTTGAAGGCGTTGAGTATTATTTGATTTGAAGTAATTTAAATGGAGAGTGAAAGATGTCGAGATTTGTTTTTTTACATTTGAAATTCATCATTTAACTTGATTTCATATTTTTGGAATTTTACCAGTTCAAACAAATTCAAAATACAATAAGTTGTTACTCTCGATGTAACAATACTGAGGTCACTGCAGTAGCAACCATGGCAACAAAATCAATTCCATGACTTACAACTTCATCTTCAAAACCTTGACAAATGTTAGCATGAATTGTCCTGTGAAATGTTTTAAAATTTCAAGATTTTTATTTTATAAGTTTATTTTGTCTGACCATATCAATGCAAATATTAAATACTATATTATATTTATAATTTAAAGAGTATTAGCATGACAAATAGATGCCTCAAGAGATAACTGACAAATAAGTTGCATCACGAATTTTCCCTTCTAAATTACCCTTCAATCATGCATTGGCATCATGCTTGAATATCCTCAAGCTTCATTAAATTAGTTCTCATAGTATACTCGAGTTGACGTTGAGTACCATCTTAAGAAACCTTCAAACTAAATTATCTAGTGATGGCTTAAACTAACCCCATGACTAGAGAACAACCATCTTAACAAATCAATACTTTTCATTTTATTGAAATAAAAATTGTATAGATGTCCCTCGCCAAATCATTATTTTCTCTTTTATTCCATTGATGTACCTTGCTAAGCAAATATGGGATCAATGCTTACACATGTTACTAATTATTAATGAAATGACCATATTACTCATTAGAAGTTAGAAATTTGTTACATCTTTGTTGTTGTCAGAACATGCTCTCATATTTGTGGACACTTAAAAGCACTTTTTCATTTTAGATTGTTGCCAATTCATCAAGGATGATTAATTTATAAGCATAGTCAACTATATTTGATATGTGCATTTTTTTTTATTTCATATTGATAAGTGTGAAGTTAATTAAGGCAACCTAAGCCACTACTATAATAAATATTATTATGACCCTTCCTTTTGTTTAGTTAAACCACTCTTTTAATACTTGTAGACAGATTGATAGCTTCACATATGTTCCAACATGTGAATTCACATGTTATATAGGGCATCAAATGGATCAAGTGAACCAAGAAAGATTTGAGAAAATTCTTATCTTGTTGTCTGAATATATATAAAAATTGGATAAAATTCTTATCTTGTTGGTTGGCGCTGAATAATTAGCTTTTTTCCTTCTTTGATGAGAATGTTTAATTATATCACATTGTGATTGTTATTTCGCTTTACAACCTGTTTTACAAACATGTCTGATGCCTTCCTTTCCATTAAAACCATCATCTTAGATCACTCATTGTTACAAAAAGCCATCAAAATAATATTAAATTGTCCTTAAAGCACTTGGTTGATACTTGGCCATCATCACCTAGTTTTTTTCTTCTACCTCTCATTAGCCATCAAATTTCTAAAATACTTTACCAAAAGAAGCATATGCTAACTATATATAGCCTAAGTTAGCCATCCATTATCATTTTGCTCTTTTTGGTGAATCTTAACTTCATTCATAAAATATTTAAATCAAATCAACTTAAATTCTATTTGTTTGAACCAATCTTAATTATTATACATTCATACAACCTCAAAGTTAGGGTTGCAAACTAACTGAGTTGAGTCGAGTAGGAATTTGTTCAAACTTGAACTCATTTATAATAATCATGTTTGAGCTTAGTTATCTTATGTCACAACCCAACTCGTCGTGTTAATGTCATAACAAATGAATTATTACCCAATATTTATTTGGAATGAATCTTATTCATTTATTTATTCTATAAGTTTCATATACAAAGCCACTAATATCATAAAATGTTGTAAAATAAATATACCCAAAGTTCATTTATATCATCTAACTATACAACAAAAGAACAAGTATACAACAATCATAGTTTAATCTCTATCATAAATAAATAAATAACTAAACATCAATGTAGTTGTCAAAAATAAAAAACTAAGATAGTGACATACATAAAATCAAGCTCTCACAAAGTATTCCTAAAATTCCTCAAATTCTAATGAGTTTAACATTTAAATTTTAAGATATACTTATAAGATCTTGATTTTTAAATATCATATAGAAAGTTATTTTTTTCAAATATATTTTTTATTTATATGATTTAATATAATTATGACACTAAAATATTAAAAAAATAAAATTAAACTTTGTTAGCTTCTCTCTCTGTGGCTTAGCTTCTCAATCACCGATGTTGGGCGCCACCACCTATCCTAGGCCATCCTCTTTCTTCTGCAACAACTTCCAGAGCCCAAACAGTAACCCTAAATCCTCCGTGCAGCAACAAATTTCGTTGAAATGTCGCTGTCGCGTCGTCGGATCATTGCCCGACCACTCCGAGGGAGCAAAGGTTGAGTATAATCCATGGCTTATCGCTGGGCTTGGAAACCCTGGTAACAAATACCATGGAACTAGACACAACGTAATAGTTTCTTTCTTATGGATTCAAACCACAGCAGAATGCTTCAATTTTTACGCCCACAATATGTTTGATTGATTGTGCGAAAGGGATTTTTGTTGTGGATTGTGTTTGGTTCAGGTGGGATTTGAGATGATCGATTGCATTGCTCGGGCGGAGGGGATCAGATTGAATACTATACAGTCCAAGGCATTGTTTGGAATCGGTATAGGCTAACTGGGATTATTTGTTCTCTTTAACTATTCATTACGTTTATTTCCTGATATTTTCGTTTTGTTCCCGAATCGGTATAGGCTCATTTGGTAAGGTGCCAATTTTGTTGGTGAAGCCGCAGGCTTACATGAACTTTGTCGGAGAATCGGTTAGTACTTTTTCTTTTCCTTGTTTAGCTTCTGCATGTTGCTTGCTAAATATTTGGGTGTCTGGATGGATTTTTGTGATTATTTTTTCGTAGGGAAATGGCTATTTTATTGAATTTTGCCATCGAAAAGGACAGAAGAAAAAAAAAAGAGAGAGAGAAATTCAACCTTGTATTGCCTAGCATTGAGGCCAGTTCAAACAGCTTTAGCTTGTTCGATCAACCAGAAAAATTCATAAATCCTACATGGGTAGGAAATAATGTTTAAGTTCATATTAATGATGCCATTTATCATGGAAAACTGAATTCCTATAACTGGGCAAGTAGAATTTAAATTCAAAGTTTTATTCAATTCTTTGGTGAGATTGTTAGATTTTGTAGTTTATTTTTTCTGTTTATACATCATATCATGCGGTATCAACTTAATTAATAGTTAGTTCATGGAGCTAATCATATATTTTTCATGTGAAGATAGGATCACTTGCTGCATATTACCAAGTCCCCTTGCGGCATATCCTATTGGTACGCTTCAAAATCCAACTTAATGGCCCTTTAAGGATGTTGATTGTGATGTCCATGTTTTCTAATATGGTTTTGTTTCCACGCCATGGTTTCTATGGTGAAGATATATGATGAAATGAGCTTGCCTAATGGTGTCTTGAGGCTTTCACCAAAGGGTGGTCATGGACATCACAATGGGTAGTTATTCTTCCTCTGGATTTTTATTGCTAGTTTATTTATGAAGTTATAGAAAGGATTTATTTGACAGCCCTCTACTTAATTTTCAAACAACATAACTCGACTAAGGCTCACGAGCATGCTGGGCCAATGGTGGAATCTTATTTTCCTGATATATTATGTAATGTCGTCAAAAAACCACATGCAATGTGAGGGTATAGAGGCAGGGAACCATTTATAATTAGTAGAACTTGAGGGAGGGAAAATTAATGATTCCACAAGAAGTAGCAAATTTCCAGTATGAGAATATCAGAAAGAGTTAGGTATAATGCATGTTTTCTCAGGAAACTAAGCTGATTGTATTGTATAATTTTTGTGGTTGATTTGTGTTAAATCTAAGTTTTCATGTGCCTGATATTGGATATTATTAATGAGATTTATTGAGAAACAAGAGAGATGGATATATATATGAAGGCATAGAGTCGAGGAAACCTTTTTGATTTTTTCTTGCAAGAAAGTGAAGAGTTCGAGACAATGCCTTCTAACCTCCTATTTATTAGTGGCGGTAGAAGCATGGCTCTATAGGAAACATTTCATTTAAAAAATGAATAGATCACTGCTGATCGCATTTTCTATCACATATGACTTGCATGAACATTACCTTTTGGTTTGGTGTAGCAACATTGAACAAAAAAATGTGCATGCCCATTTTTGGCCAGGCGTGATCACGCCAGGCCAGGTATTTTTATGTGATCACTCAACGTGATCATTTCCCGTACCACACCAACGATCCGAGGGCTTTCTCCATGTATCCAGGAACAAACCTTTGCATCGTTTCGCCGACGGCGATCTGTGGCACCTTCAACCGTCGAATTGATCATGGTCGTCAACTCACCACTCAAATCGACAGCCACAGAGGCCTCTGGCACCACCTTCCCAGCCTATAGATAGGCGTCATCAGCTCTCTACACGAGACACACTTCATTCTCCGCACTCTTTAGCACTTATCTCAGACTACTCAGATAGAGAAAGAAGAATGAAGAAGAAGTGCTCCGACGAGCCTCCTCATCCTCTGGTCACCCTCCTCTTCGGTAAATCTCCTCTTCTCTTTGTTAATTAAGCATTTACTTTGGAGTTTGAGTTGACGTTAGGTTAATCCATTCAATAGCCTTGGATTAGGCTTGGATTTGGGATCAACTCGACACCTGAACTCAGCCTAATACTAACCCTAGCCCTAACCCAAAACCAAACCAGCCTAACCCTAATCCAAACTCAGTTTAACCCTAACCAGAACTCAGCCTAACCCTAACCCAAAACAAGTTTAACCCTAACCCAAAACCCAACCTAATCCCAACCCAGGTCTCACCTAACCCAAATGAGGTCTGACCTGACACAATCCAGGTTCGACCTGACCCAACCCAGGTCCGATTTTACACAAAACTAAGCCAACCCAGTCCAACCTAGGTAAACCTAAGTCAACCTAGGTCAATCTAAGACAACACAGTTCAACCTAGGTCAACCTAAGTCAACCAAAGTTAACCTAGGTCAACCCAAGTTAAACCAAACTAACCTAGATCAACCTATGTTAAGCAAATTTAACTCGGGTGAAACATGACAAACTGACTGATATTACACCTCAACTCGATCCTATCCCATGTCTAATCCATTGTAAACTCTTCAACCATTACTCTTCAGGTATAGACCTCCTTCATTGGGGCATTTCCATGACGCATTTTCATCGTACTGTAAACCCATCACTTTGAGCTTAATTCTTCTAATTTGGATCCCTACTTATTTTTCAACCATTTCAATCGTGAAAGTCTAACCTCTGACGATTTAACTCATCGCATTAATTGAGAGTTTTCTTTAGGTCTCACGGCTCTGGAGATATAATTAACTATGAGGGATTGTCGCTGTAGGGAACGAGACCCAAAAATTAAAATAAACCTTATCTTAAACCTATAAGATAGGAAAAAAAATCCTGGTTACGTAGATTGACGAAGACTTTCATCCTTCGGCCGGTTTCATCCTCCGGGTGGTCAGACCCATTTTTAAGGTAATTTTTTCTTCATTTGGGAAGATATATTATTGTTCGGAATTTCGTGTCCAGTCATATAGATAGAATTTTTCCAAAAATTCTATGGTGTGTGACGACACACAAAAATCCCACACCAATCACTTGATATAATCTTATAAATTCTAGCCATAAAATGAATATAAATCAATTGTGACATTTAACTACATTATACATGCATTAAAACGTTCCAAATATGCTACAAAATCAGGTGAAGTCATCAGCCTTCTGAACCTGGGTTGAACGATTCCCGGTGAGTTACTATGCTGTGAGTTTTAAGTGAGCATTGTTAGTTGGTCCAGTAAGTAGGAGTTGCTTGATGACTTTACATCACTTTAATTGAAGGTGATTTGATCTTGTTAACAAATTCATCAAAGTGGTGGTGACATCTTCTTAGGTTTAATGGAATCTTTCCTCTTGGCAAGTTCAATATGATTAGTTTACTGTGTTTACTCTTTTTAGTCGGCTGAGTTGACTCAAACTCAGCTTGAATAATGTTAGGTGTCCATTTTCTTTCTAGATTCTCTCATCTCTTTAAAGAGATTTTAAAGTACAGGAGGCCTTAAATGTCGTTATGGCCAAAGTTCATATCTTTCAACGTTGATCAGAGTGGATTTGGCATCTCCGTATACATTTGCACCGTGAGCATCTACACATATAGACCAAAGGACTTCATTTCTAGCGCGCGCGCGTGTGTATATATATATATATATAGTGTGTGTGTGTCTATGGACCATCTACAAATGTTAGCTCACAAAATCAAGACATTATGTCGGATCACAAGAAGGCGACCCGAAGCTATGCTTAGCGGAAACAGGAACAGGCGAAGGCAGGAGCGACGAGCAGGACCAGGCAATTCGCGAAAAATATATATATATATATATATATTTGCTTCTGCCTTATAAGCTTTGTCTCTATTTTTCCCGTCTTCAAGGTTGGTCCTCCACTAGATAGCTTAATGGTTGCCTGCATAAAAAAGAGGCGAAGGGAAAGTGATAGTCGAAGAATGTACGGAGCATAATTCTTCTGCCACTTTCCTTCTTTTATCTTCAGGTATGTTTTTCTATCTATGGTTATCTTCTTTAGGTCCTCCACTTAGTGGCTTTTCCTTAGCTGCTATCCTTCATGGTAGAGGGGAAGGGTCTGCTTTCTTAGACCAACCATATGGCTTCTACAGAAGTCATTTAGAACCGTTGGAGACAAACCTTGATTGCCTAGTTTAGAAGGTTAAAGAAGCCCCTATACCTGACAAGTATTTTGCTACATTCAATGCTGATCGTTGACTGTGTAGCTGCTAGAGTCTCTTATGGACATTGGCTCAAGACCTACCAAAAAGGTTGTCGTCCACTCCAAAACTGTAATATTTTCACTCACATTAGATGCTCACTTTGGTTTCAATCATCACTACGTTGATTTGCCAACCTGAGAGTTAACTATTCAATGACTATTGGTCTAATTCGACAACTTCCAACTTGGATCGAGCCAACATATTTAAATAGAGCTTTTATGGAAATTTTATTATTTGTATAAATAATTTGTGATAAGTTGAAAGCTATTCACATACATTGTAATATAGATCATGCTTTGTATGCATACACTGTTTGGCAAATTTCTTAAGGAGTAGGAAAAAAATTGAGGGTAAGAATTCTATAATAACTTATTTCTTCTTCCTTATATACTTCATTTGCTATTTTCTAGAATTATCTGTAGATTTGTTTTGCTTCATTCTAGTAAGTGGCTGTGATTGTATCTGTAGAGTTTGTTTAAAATCTTTCTTATATTGCATCTGACATAGTTTTAAAATAAAGTTTGGTAAATTTAAGGTATCTATTTCTAAAGAGTATAATTCTTATCATCAGCCTTATGAATTCTCATTCCCTAATATATATCATGCTTTGTATCTGTAGATTTGTTTAAAACCTTTCTTATATTGTATCAAGACTTATGACAGTTTTAAAATAAAGTTTGGTAAATTTAGAAGGCATCTCTGTCCAAAGAGTATAATTCTTATCATCAGCCTTCACAATTCTCGTTCCCTAACCAAGCTTACCTATTATTGTCTTGTAAGATTTAGATAATAGAGCTATGTACTTTCATTGATAGAAAAAGGAAGACCTAAATAAAAGGAAAGACATAAAAATAGAAATAGACCAATTAAGAAATACATAAATATGGAAACGAATAATAGATGAAGCAAATAAAAGCGAATAATAACTGCAACACTAATTAGCCTAATAATTAGGCTAATAATTTCAATAATCCCCCTCAAGTTGAAGCATATATGTCCATCATATTCAACTTAGATTCGAAGTAGTTAAATAATGGTAGAGGAAGATTTTTGATAAGGATATTTGCTAATTGATCATTGGATGAGACAAATGGAATAAAAATCTCACCTGGATCGAGTTTCTCCGTAATAAAGTGTCTGTCAATCTCCACATGCTTGGTCCGATCATGCTGGACCGGATTATGAGCAATACTAATGACAGTTTTATTATCACAGAACAACTGGAGAGGAGTAGAGACTGACAAACGCAATTCACTGAGCATGATGCATAGCTAGAAAGCTTCACAGATACCCAAAGACATGGAGCGAAACTTAGCTTCAGCGCTGCTTCAGGCTACAACTGAATGTTTTTTTTGTTTTTCCATGTGTCAAGATTTTCCCACACGAGTGAACAATATCTTGAGATGGATCGCTGATCACGGACATACCCGACCCAATTCGCATCTGTATAAACAACAATAGGACGAGAGGTGTGGCTCGAGAAAAACAAACTCGAGTTTGGTGTGCGTTTTAAGTAGTTAAGGATCCTATGGATAAATTGAGATTATGCTCATAGGGATCATGTATGAATTAACTCACAATATCTATTGCGTAACAAATGTCGGGGCGAGTATGGGCGAGTTAAATGAGTTTCCCCATAAGCCGTTGGTAGTGAGTTTT